AATGCATTTGTACCTCGCAAAGTTTTGTTGAATATTTTTGAGATGTGCTGCTGCTGCAAGATGAGAAGCGTCCATTCTACTCAACCTGCTCCAATAACAGAATTTTCCGTACAATATTGAGTACCCTTAAATAAAAACAATGTAAAGAGTTATGAAAATTTAATTAGTTAATTAATCAACAATTAACTTGTACAGGATCCTCAACATATATTTTTCACTTTTATCTGCTGCAGAGAATTCGATAAAAAATGGGGTTTACTCGAAAATAAGAACAATCGGATAATCTAACTGCGTTCTTTTTCAGTTTGTATGTACTCAGAAGAGAAAGATAAACAAAATATGCATTTTAACTCGGAGAGGTTGTATCTCTCAATGATTTTTGTATATCTCGCATAATTGGTGACTATTCTGTGGAGAAAGAATAAACTTAGTAATGTTATGGGAAGTAGGGGATTTCGCGAGCTTGTATTCAACGCATTCTTTAATTTCGAATCGCCTGTAAAGGAATTCTTCATTTGTTGCCATGTTGGGTACGGCTCTCGGGATACAAGATATTATTCCCATAGCAATAGTGAACTTTCTGGTAATGCGGATGAAAATATGTTGACCAGAATTGGGTTCCAGATATCAGTGGATGTGCCGAGAGTTTCGAGCACTGATAAAGAATTTGTGATTGTTGTATATAAATCAATAAACTCCTCACTTATAACTTTTGAGCTGGAGATAGCAGGACTACGGTGAGCACGTCTTTGAAAGAGAGCCACTCATCGTATCCACCTTAAAATGTTTCAGTGTCACATGGGGAAAGTTGGAGATATACTTCCGGTTGTTCAATTATTTTGGGTCTGGGTTCTGATTGAGAAATATACATAGGTAGATTTAATGCTTTAATTAACTAACTATTCATAAATTTTTGCTTTGGTTATTTCATAAGTTCCCTACTTACTTTCCTGGCGCAGACACTGTTAACACGATTATGGCCGATTTAACAACATTGCGCCATTCGTGTCTTCTTTTTGCTGTTTTGCGCTAATTGGAAATAACAAGTACAGCGATGCTTTTCTTCCTCTTCATCTGCTTCCACCGACAGATACTGCATCGAAAACTTCCAAAGGTGTAGTACTCTCATCCATCCGGACCACATGACCTAGCCTGCGTAGCCGCTGCTTCTTGATTAGCTGATCTATATCAATGTCGCCGTATCATAAGTATCAATGCTAAATGGGTACTTTCCTTCCGCCAGCGCAAGAAAAGTCGCGGGGAGATCTTCTTTAAACTTTTTGGAATAAGACATCGTATGCGTCTTGAACTTGTTTATACCAATCGTCAATTTTTAGGAGATTTTCTGATTTGCTTTCAGTTCCTACATGGGTTGTATCTTAAGCTGAGTTAGATATTTCGTTGGGAATATCTTGGAGGAGATACATCACTGAAGGCTTTGATTTTTCGACAAATATGTATATTTTATTTATTTAAATATTTATAATTAAACTTCTTTTAAGCAAGATAGCGCTTAATCGCGAGGAACTATTCTTGCATGAAATTGGGCATAGTCGAGAGATACTAGCATATAAAAAACGCAGAAGCGTTTACTGCTGGGTTGAAATGCAGTTTGTAGGTATGTATATATGTGCGTATGTTTACAAAGTAATGCTTCAGCTGAACTGAGAGCGAACTAGATCAACAGATATTTTAATGCACTGAGTGGGTGCAGTGTATGGGCGGTTGAGTGTTCGCTGTTATGCTGAAGCTGTGCTTGAGAAAGCACAAAAGAAAATAGAAAAGCAGGGCACAGGAGGTAATTTGTGCTTTTATGCTACTTTTTAAATACAAAAACAAAGAGATTGTCGCCAAATTTAATAGTAAGCAAAGTAATCGCGGGAGTGGATGCACGATTTTTTGAGAATACTAACTTTTTAGCTTTACTGAAACTCTTTTTATTGAAAAAAAAAAATATATTTTGTAAATTTGCAGATATATGCTATTGTTGAGAAAACAAAAGATATTTGCATACATATGTACGTATACAAAGTGTTAAAATATACTAAAATATCGCGAGGAGATCTATTGGTTTCATTCTTTTGCATTTGAATGTAGACGTACAGATCTGAATTCACTTATTTTCAAAGGGAAATTTTTAAATTTTCTACAGTTCTTACGCTCCTTCATTAAAAGTAAGTTGTATGCGTATATTTTATTGGTCACTTAATGATCCGACTATTACACAGAATCCTTACTTGTTGAAGCTGATACTGCAGCTATTGTTGATGGGAACGTTGTTGTTGTTTGATTTTGATGTTGCTCCTGACCGGTGACACTTGGTTGGATGATTTTATTTTGTTTTTTTTTGTTTTCATTCGCAACGTCTTGTATTGTACTTTATTGTATAGTTAACTATAATAATGATTAATTTTTTTGTGGAAAGAAACACTTCACTACTTAACTGCTTTATTGTTTTCAAATGTTAGTGTTGTGCTTTCTTTCTGTTGCGCTTTACTTTTTACTGCTCTTGCAGTTTTTAATTATTTGTTTGCTTGAAGAGTCTAACGATTACTTTGGTTTTTAACTTTTTGCTTTGTTTTTCAATAGAATACACTTTAATATGTTGTATTATTTATTGAAAACAAGTTTGAATTTAATTATTATTTTTTTGTTGAAACCTTTGTAATAAGCCTTAAATATTATTTTTTCGTTAAACTGCCAATTCAAGGTTGGCTCGAAGGACCATATTTTATCTTCTTAAGACATTTGAAATAAAATTGCTCGCGTATTCTATTTAAAGTGTTTTCATAGTTTTATAGAAAATTTATAATAATAATAATAATTTTTTATAAAATTTTGATATGTTTTAACGTTATGCATCATACACGGATAAAGTCACTTTTTGTATAAATATTTTGTTTTATTATAATAAATAATAAGTAATAATAAACTTCATTTGATGTCTCTGGTTTTTTTTTTGATTTTAAATCATTCCGAGCGCGCTTGCCAATAAGTTGGTTAGAAATCTCATCGATTGTCCGGTTTACACGGCCATTATATGCAAAAGGCGCATTAGCGTGCCCACAGAAGGATTCGGTTTCTGGTTAGGGCAGAGCCATTTTAAGCGTACGCTTAAGGGACACACCTAGTGTAATGGCCTAAAAAAGGAGATTTTTGGGAATATTTATTAAAAAAGGTACTTTATCAATTATTTCAAAATTTCAAGAATATATTTATACATGTTTCAAGAATATACAGTGAATTAAAAAAAAAAATTAATATTTTTTAAGTTATAATCGATCTCCAACGGCGCGAAAAAAGGTCCTTCACTGCTGCAGTGATTCCGGCCTTCCCCGTGGATGAAATCTAAAAAAAAATTCTATTCTAAATTCTATTGTCTGTACAATGACTTACGATAAAAAATATCAAAAATTTACAATATGGCGCGTTTTAAAAAAAAGTCGAATTTTACCCAAAATTTTGGTCGTTTTTGGCCTACCAAACCTCGAGTTATTGATCAGATCAAAAATCGATAGGTCATTGTACGCAGAATTGTTTATAGAGAATGTAAAGAAAATTCGATAGAGATCGGATCATTTGTGTAATCACTGCAGCAACATCGGAAAATGTTGTTTCGAGAAAAACGCGTTTAAAGATAAAATGATCGTTTTCTCTTGTAGCTAATGAGACTCTCTAGCTGCCGAGCGGCTGCTCTTTAAATTGCTATAACTAAAAACTATTTAAAATATCGATTTTAAGTTTTAATATGTTATTTTTAAAGGTGTAATCTACCGAATTTTTTGTTTTTTGAAATTTCACACTAGGTGTGTCCCTTAAACATTCAGAATTGTCTCTTTCTTGCGCTTCTCAGGATCGCCATGTTTTATTTGGATTAAATAAGGAAAGAAAAGTAAGTATTTCTTAGAGAAAACGGAAAAAATAATATCGTCACTTCATATTTAAACAGCAGTGTGAGTCCTGCTAATTATACGGCTATATCCATATATGAGTTGATGTTATTTACAAAATTATCTGGAGGAAGGCTACACTTCTCTCCGGAAAGTGAAAAATCTTATTTATGGATCCACTTTTTTTTTAAATTCAGGACTTAGGTGGATTTTTGCTTAGATGAGCAGGAAAACTACTCTTCTTTCTAAAAAGTCCTCGATCCTCTTCCCAGAAAGAAGAGTAATTTTCCTCGTCTATTTGAAAAGTCGAACTATTGTTTTCTCCGTGAAGTGGAGCAATGTCATTTATAAGCCCAAAAATGTTGTATTCTGACAAGTGTTAATTAATTAAAGTTATGACGTTTCCTAACTTTTTATTGAATATTTCCTTAGTTACATACATATGAATTTGCATAGCAACCCATTACTAAAAGATGGCCTTCTTTTAGGCAAAATTTTACATGAATTTTTTATAGACTTTTTATTCTTTCAATTTTTTCATAATTTTTAAGCCCAAGACTTCTGCGCAGAACTATGCCCAGATCTGGAAATCGAAGATCATTAGGTCCTCATAATTGTCTTGTGTTTCTTTGGAATTCGGGCCTTTTTCTAATTTCTACGGTTCTTTCGTTAAGGAGATTACTTCGTCTGCTGCAACTATTGCTGGAAAAGAGGGCACGCTGTTTCTTGTTCTTTTGCCAACTATGGTGTCAGGTTTAGCAAGAATACTAGCACGTCCACGCATAGGTACACTTTTAGGCAATTACATTGTTTCCTTTCTTTTTACATCTTCCATGGGTAGTGTGAAAATCGTCTTTCTGAATTTGAAATTTGTCTAACGCATATGTTTGTCCCTTGTCCACCCTCCGATCCAGAGTGTTGGAGGTATATTCCCACGGTTCAAGTGATACATTTTCTCTCGAGCACCCGTTTATTGCTGAAGGAATCTGCTTTTACATTTTTTAACCTTATTATTTTCTTGTTTCAAGTTGTTTTTTTTTTCAATAATTCTTTTTTCTAGAATGATTGAAAGATTTCATTGGTCTGAAATATTATTGTGTATTCTTTTAGGCTTACGAACAGAGACTAAGGATGACCTTAAATGCTCTTCAGCTGAATCAGTTTATGGCCAAAAACTGAGATTTTCGGGTGAACTCATTGTTTCCAATCAAAATTATAATAACGAAATCGAGACCACAAATAAAGTTCTTTAATTTAAGGAAACTATAAACATTAGGCCCACCATTTCTTCACTTAACACAAATACACCAAAAAATACCAAACAGAAGAAAGTTATATAATATTTAACCTAAACTAATATAATTAAATATGCGTTTCACTGGAGTGGGAGGAAATGTAGGAATGTACTTTTTCATTTTGTAACCAATTTCGACAATACTTCAAACATTTTCATTGCATGATTATAATTTTCCCTGTGAAGCAAATAATTTTTAAAATAAAAATACTTATACTTACTTCACTGGCGCAGACGCTGCTTACGCGATTATAGCCGAGATAATAAAATTGCGCTATTTGTTTCTTCTCCTCCTGGTCTGTCCAACGGAGTTCACCGTTCTATCGCCTACGGTATTTGCAATGCCAGTATTGCCAATGCGCAAAGGACAATGACTCTTACGCAAAACATTTATCTCGAAAACCCCTAACGCCGACACATCAGATGTTGTCATCGTCCATGCTTCCGCACCATATAGCAGGGCGAGAACGATGAGGGACTTGTAGAGTTTGGTTTTTGTTCGACGGTAGAAGACCTTACGTGTTGTTGAAAGTAGATATTAAGTTTTGTCCTCGTTCACTAGCAGCAGAACTAGCGCGCAGTTATCAAGGCTTGTGATACTAAGTTCTTCTAAGTTGCACACTTTTTAAAAATATAGAACCTTATTTATTTAGCTCTGTAGCTGTTTCTATTTTCTTCAGCATTAAATGAAAGTTCCCACACGATAAGGAGTCACACTGCTTAAAACCTCGATTGATACCGAATTTTCAAAGTAGTATTTTACAATCCTGTTTGCGCCACTTTACATAGCTCTCCTTCTGTGCTGAAGAAAGCAGCTTTAATATCTATAATATTAAATATCTAGACAATTGTTGAATTACCAGGTCTAAAGACATACTGATAAAGTCCAATTGGTTTGTTTACAGCTTCATCGTTTTACACAAGACGCTTAATATGATCCTATATACGATATACAGGAGGCGAAGCCTAGATGAGAGTGACCGTCTTTATAGGTAGACTGGTAGAGTATGTATATGAGTAGTTAGAGTATTTCGTAAGTTTCCGGGTATATTCAATAAGCAATAGGTGAAGTTTACATAAGCAAGTCGCTTTTAAGATATTCAATGACAAAGAAGTGCTTTTGATGCAACCACATGATTGTGAGTATAATGAATGAGAATAACCTTGTCGTGTACTGTAGTTCGTTTATTTTCCATCGGTAATTAATTGTATATTTTAATGCCAGTAATGATATCACGGTTGCATTCGGTGTGTATCTACCCGGTGGTATATGTCTCCAAAATTAGATGTTTCCACCAAAACGGTTCGTCCACTAATTAGGTAAGCGGGATGCATAGCGAGAGCGTTTCATAAAAAAAAGGTGTCGTCTTTCTCTCTAAGTGGGGACAGAAAAATTATCCCAGTATACTTGGTGTGCCTTGGTGCGCTATACAACGACGTCCCTTTGAATAATGGCGTTGGCGCGAAATAATTAAGCACTAGTCTACACCCTCCGGAGTGGGCCGGCGTGTAGCTTGCGGCCCGTAAGTTTGTGCATTTTTTTTAGGCAGAAGTGCGTTTTAATTGAGGAAAATATTTATATACTTACCTACCTGAAATTGTGCTTTGCAAGTCGCGGCGAATATTTTTAACCAGGTAGCTGAGGCCTAGAGAAAAATTTTAAGCCAGTTTAGGCTTCTTTAGGAAAATACTTCTTTCACAATTGGGGAAATGAATTCGAGCGGCAGAGCCGAAGATTGGACGACACATCCAACCAAGCAACCGATACAAATCTTTTTTGTCCGTTGCTCTTCTACGCCTTTGTGGTACATATAAAAATTTTACCATTTCATACTTTCTATATTTTCTATTTTTCAGTTTGTTTTGTTAAATTAACTATGTCCTGAGCTCGAGTTTGGGTTATTTGCTGCTGAAAATCTAAGCTCCCGCAATCTGGCGGGATTATCGGGGCCAGAATTCGTTTTAAATTCTGGACACCGACACCGTTATAGGGACCCTTTTTTAGGCAATCTGGTTTGATGAAATAAGAGTGTAACGTACCCGGTTTTCCGGTTTATAGCTGAGTCTCACCTATAATTTCTATTCCCAAACGCACAGGGCAAAGGACAACACGAATAGTTCTACGTTACGCAATTAACTTTATTATTCAAATATTCTACTGGTAGCGTTTTCACGTCAGCCGTATATCTTAAACCGTATCGTTCTGGCAGCGTTTTCACGTCAGCCGTATCTCTTAAGCCGAATCGTACTGGCAGCGTATTCACGTCATCCGAATATCTGTATTGGCAGCGTTTTCACGTCAGCCGTATATCTTAACCGTATCGTACTGGGAGCGTCTTCACGTCAGCCGTATCTCTTAAGCCGTATCGTACTGGCAGCGTATTCACGTCAGCCGTATATCTCTATTGGCAGTGTTTTCACGTCAGCCGTATACTTCTATCTACTCCTATTGGTAGCTTTTGCACCATACACCATATATTCTATCTACGACAGCACAAACAGAAGTGTCGTATCACTGCTGATGCTGTTCCTTTTATACTAAATTCGCTCACAGGCGAACAGTTATGCACTGCCTTTTGTTGGTAGGCCTATCGCCTGTACTTCTTTGCCCTACTTAACAGCGACGGCTCGCTACGCTAGTGCCTCGCTTGAATGTTTAGTACTTATTTGTACGTATACATATTGTTACGATTTTGCTGAATCATCCTCGATGATTTCCTGAATCCTTCGGGTACGATCTCTGGATTGTTAAANTTGCGATAGGACTTTCCGCAGCCATTTGTTCCTTACTTGTTCGTCTATTTACCTCCAACCCGTGCATTAATAATTCTAAATCTGGATCTTCTTGCTGACATTTCCTTAAGCTACTTGCCTCCCACTCTTCTGCTTGCGTAACTTTTATTTGCCGGACAACTACTATGCCATCTTTATCCTCAGCTTTTGAGCAAGGTTTACATTCTATATTACATGGCCGACGGGACATAGCGTCAGCATTTGTGTGCATTTTCCCCTTGCGGTGCTCGACTGTGAAGTCATCTTCCTCTGCCTTCCGTTTTCGTTGTACCTCCTGTCTGCTGGAACTTGTTTTGCATTCGCGCGCGAAGTGACCAAGCTTTCCACATTAAAAGCATTTTCCCTCTTGAGTCTTAAAACCAGAACGATTCATCCCTTCTAGCGATTTCAGAGTTCTTAATATTTCCGTTATCACATCTGGTGTTTCAACCTCAACTTTATTGACTTTGTATGATGGTCTGCTTATGAGTGCCGCCGTTTTACGTGTTTGTGCATACGCAACAGTTTCAGCGAATGTTTGCTTTGGATGCGCAAATGTCTCTCGCTTGGTGTACACTTCTTTTATTCCGCTGATGAACCTTTATATCATCACCCTTTCAACATGCTCACCCGATGTGTCTCCAATGGCTAAATGAGCCAATCTCTCAACTTCCAAAGCATATTCCTGCAAAGATTCGTTGGATTTTTGGTCGCGCTCTAGCCATCTGGTAAATCTGTCTTCTGTGCTCGCTACCATAGCGTCTTTCCAGAATTTGCATCAATCCGTCATAATCATTTCTCTCGTTTACGGATATGGTTTGCAAAAGTTCGGCTGCCGGTCCTTCCAACACAACGAATAGTGCAGCGGATTTTTCCTCTATGCTCCCGTTGTTTATTTCAGCTGTCTTCTCAAACTGAAGCTAAAAGACTTGAAATGGGATTTTACCGTTTAAAGATGGTGTTTTTGCTTTCACTGAAGTGGTTGGACGATTTAGCTGCAATTCCCGGGAACGACTTTCCCATGCGTTGACTTTGGTCTCAATTAGATCCTGCCTTTCCTTAAGTTCCGCATTGTTCCTCACCAGATTTTTCTGTATTTGCGCCATTTTTGATGTAATGTCGGCATTCTGTGCATCCATCTTTTGTGAGGTGCCGGCTCTCATTTCAAACATATTTTGTGCGATCCTGGCGTTCATTTTTGTGCCACGTGTATCGAACTTTTGGGTATATCTCAGTCAATAACATGATCATGTCAATACGCTTAGATGAGCCAGTAGCCATTTCTTGAATCTTACTTGATGGTGATTCCAACTCCTTCGCAGAATCATCAGCCTCTTCCTTGTAAATGTCCTTCAAGGATACACCTTCATCCACGCAATGGAACTCGTACTGGTTCAAGTCGATGCCTCCAACTTCCATAGCTTCTCGCTGTCTCGATTGCAGCTCTGCCTTATTTCCAGTTGGAAAATATTATCCTTTGGGATTTATTTAACAATCCCACTTCTGGATTGTTAAATAAAATATCGCCAACTTGATTTGCAGTTTCTTTCGTTACAAAGAATTTATTTAATGTCCTTCATTTACTCAGTAATTCACAATTCAATTACAATGCACTTTAATAGCTACAAACACTTGCATAAACTTTCACAATTTACTCTACGTAAATGTAATCCCCAACGCGTTTACTTTACGATTTCACTGATGTTAACGCCAAAGAGTTCACTTTGTAACTAACTTAACTTGGCAGCTGAGTGTCGCCCTTATATAGCAGTCGGCTGCTCGCAGACGAAAGTGTAGAATAATCGAGTTCTTCTCTATCGAAGGTTCTCGTTTTATCGTTCTAGAATGTCCTAGTTGTCGGCTTCTCTCTTTCATCTGACATTCGCCTCGCATTTTCGCAACAATATATTGTTACGATTTTACTAAATCAACCTCGATTATTTTCTAGATCCTTCGGGTACGATCTCTGGATTGTTAAATAAAAACTCGCCAACTTAATTTGCAGTTTCTTTCGTTATAAAGATTCTATCTAATGTCCTTTATTTTCTCAGTAATTCACAATTCAATTATACTGCACTTTACTATTTATAATCACTAACATCAACTTTCACAATTTACTCTACTTAAATGTAATTCCCAACGCGTTCACTTTACGACTTCACTGATGTTAACGCCAACCAGTTCGCTTTGTCACTAACTTGACTTGCAGCTGAGTGTCGCCTTTATATAGCAGTCGGCTGCTCGCAGACGAAAGCGTAGAAGCATCGAATTGTTCGCTATGGAAGGTTCTTGTTTTATCGTTTCTAGAATGTACTAGTTATCGGCTTCTCTCTTACATCTGACATTCGCCTCGCATTTTCGCAACAATATATATATATATGTGTAGATGTATATAAATATTTCTATGCATTTCGTATATATGTATTTAATGTAATAGATATATATATATACGCTTATAATTATATTTATATATATATATGTTTATATAACTTCTCTTTTGTTGTTGTTGCTGTGGAGGGTCCAATGCCTCGGACTTGTGGTCTTCACAAGAGAAAACTTCCCCTGAAGGTAGAGAAACAGGCAAGGAACGATATTTTAATCCATAAAGAATGCACATACAGGCAAAATACAAACTCACCTGATGTCGGCGCTGCTGATCTTCAAAAGTAAAAGAGAAGCTTAAAACAGCAACGTCGCCTTTTTATGCATTTCATCAAAAAGTGGAATATACAGCGGGACGGAGATCAACAACGCATCCCAAGAGAGATAGGTCATATTTTTCACCAGTTGAAGCGACATCTGTAGGTGGAGATTATGGGGTCTGCTTAGGTTTGCATCCTCAAACATGCCGCCCGACTTACAACATCACTGCAATATAATGGTTTGTTTAAAAAAAAAAACATATTAAATTTACATTTCATTCCTTTATAATTCGTTAACTGCACATTACATTATTATTTAATCTAAGTCACCATTGTCTGCATTCTTCCTTTCTTAGAAAGGTTTGCTCGAGAGCATCCTTCCTAAGATTGTATTGTGGACCTCTGCGCTGAGCACTAACGAAGCGGTACTAGAACGGTCTGAGCTTTCCTTGATGTTGGCATGGACATCTTAATGCTCGTGAAAACATTTTTGAAGCAGAGCCCTGGAAGTTCCACATCAGCTTTGGGGACCATTGGTTTTGCTCCGTCGGCAACCAGTTTCCATTCAAACAAAAAAAGATTTTCTACTAAATTCTACAATACCATTACCTAGTCCGAAATATCTGATCATATCTGAATCCAATGGAAAAATCCTATATCACATTAGTCGTGCTTCGCTGAGCATAGATCTCTTCAAGTAATAAGCAGCGGTGTTGATATTATACCTGAGCTATGAGACGGTAGTTTACTATTTTAAGCAAAAGATAATAAAACTGCAGAAGAGTTTGTCTCAATTAAAGAAATACCGGACATATATGAAGTGAAATGTAAATCTTATGAAAATTTAAATTCTGTACAAAGAACGCTTTACACCCTTTATTTAAAAAAATTATCAGATGACGTTATTTCCAAAGAACTTGCTTCGAAAGGTGTCATTACGCCGCACAAATTTATTAAACAATTTAAAAACAGAATGGTTCCTAGCAGAGTTGTTACTAACTTTCGACGGTTCATCCGTTTGCTTGAAACCATTACAATTTCTGGGCACTAAGAACGTTTAAGAGTGTACTTTTCCCATCTCAATGCGAAACAAAAAAGCCTGCGTCACACAATCAAGCATTGTCGGAACGATCCCACGTGTGCAATGTATGACCTCACCCCTCTCCCACACAAATGCACTCCCATCAATTGTGCCAATTGTGATAATGACCGCGCCACTGACTTCAATAAATGCCTTAGATTCCTTTAACCAAAGGGAATATAACAAATCAAAATGCTACCAAAATGTACCATCAAGCAAGCTTAGGAAACTTACTCTTCACAATTACCTAAACAATGCTTACTTTCTTTCTTCGCTGGCATTACTTTTAGCTTTTTTCTTAATTTTTTTTTGACCCGTTTTACGCGGAAGGTCGCGGTTATACTTGGTTCTTATACTAAACAGCTAAACATTTTTTTGTCAGCTGCTATATAATTACATTGGGAAAAGGAGATGAAAAGCACTCAATAAGTAGGTTTATACGGAAATGCCCAGAATATGCCTAATAATGGCGGTGAAAATGAAACACTCGGGGAAGGTGAACCTGAAACTCCAATTGATGACGATAGAAAAGCAATCGCCACTTAGAAACAACAAAGCCGCGGGGACCGATGGATTACCTGCCAAGCTACTCAAAACTCGGCGGTGAAGAACTAATCAGGTGAATGCATCAGCTTCTTTGCAGAATATGGTCGGACGAAAGCAGGCCCGACGATTGGAACCGAAGTATGCTCTGCCCAATCCACAAAAAAGCGATCTTACAGTCCGTGCCAACTACCGTGGAATAAGCCTTCTTAACATCACATATAAGGTCGTATCCAGCGTTTTGCTTGATATACTAGATGCCTGTAGACATCTTCTACGCTGGAGAGGTGATGTAGTCCGTATGGATAAGAATACTGCAGCTTTGATAGTATTCGATGCACTACCAGCTTACCACAGTAAGAGGAAGAACTCAACTCTGTTGGGAAACATCAGGTAGAGAGTGCTCTCCCCTTATTTGGTATTTCCAACCGGCGTCAGACAGCGAAAAGAAGAGAGGAATGGCGCGCTAATAATGATTCGGTTATAATCGTGTAAGCGATGTCAACTCCGATAAAGAAGAAGAAAATAAAACGATTTTTGTAAAAAGACAAATAGAAGAAGAAGAAGAAGAATAAAGAAGAAGAAAATAAAACGATTTTTGTAAAAAGACAAATAATATAGATGCTTTTCCAGATTCCTATCTATCACTATACAATTGATAGTGCGGACTCCATACATCCATATTCTAAAATGGGTCTTACAAGTGAAGTAAAGAGTAAGTTGGTAACGTATGGATCATTGAACGCTTTTGCCTAACCTTTAGTGGATTCTAAAACGCCTTTTGCGTTATTAGAACAAACATTTATCTAATAACATTTCCACACAGACAACTTCCACTTATCCTTTACACTGCTCCTTTCTACCCTTTCCCGAACGTTTGACCTTTTTCAAATTTCACTCATCAGCTCATTTAAAAAGAAAACAACTATCTTTTTTTATTAAAAATTTAATCCATCTCTCCTTTTTTATATAGAACTAACGCTCCATACAATGTTTTGCCTCATACTATGTTATCACTATGTGTCAAAAGAAATATTTCCGTTCCCATCCCCCATTCCGCCATCTCTTCCCTGCGTGCAGCGCTCTTAGGTGCTCTTAGGTGCTCACCTTATTTGAACTTACGAGGCCAAAAAATTTAAAACGCTATCATAATCTCAAATTGTATCATCCGTAAGGACGGTTCTTCTCCACCTGCTCTTCCTCCCTCTCCACTAAAACTTTCTCGTGTTGGATCGATGACATCTTAGGTACCGACCACTTCCCCATCCTCTCTAGAACTTCCTCCTCTAGCCTCTCCTTCCACTGCCAAGCCGAAGTTTGCTTTAAAATCGACCAAACTGACTTCAATGGGTTCAACCAAATTTGTGCAGTCCTTCAACGTAAGCCAAGAATCCTGATTATTTGTAGCTGCAAACAATTTCTTTCACCAATCCTCTTCTTAACCAACCAAATTAGCACCATGTTGGTGGAACAGTGCCATAAGACAACAAAAACCGATTGCATGGCACGAACGCAAACGCTGCCCTTTAATCACCAATTTAGAAATATTCAAAAATCTAGCAGTAAAAAAAACTTGGTCCGGCATAAGAAGACAATCAGGTTTACTCTCTTTCTCCCCTATGCCCATCCTCAAATCCTCCCCTGGCTATCCACTAGATCGTTGAGATTCACCCTTCACTTCGCCAATATATCCTCTAACTCAAATTCTCTCCACAGCAAACATTCAACCCTTAACACCCCTAATCGACCTCCCCAACGGTCAAGTTTTTAGACACCGAAATATCTTTCCCTAACATCCTCTCTGCTCTTTACATACTTAAGGATAGAGTCCCTGGATTTGATAAAATATCATAACCCATTAAGGAGATCCCTCCCCTTCTTCTACCCTGTCTATCCAACTTGTACAGCAACAATTACAACACAGGCACACATCCTTCCATGGAAGACTTAGTTAACTTCTTAAGACCTGGCAAACTCCCTGGAGAAGCCTACAGCTACAGCCCAATATCACTTCTACCTTGCTTAAGTGACTTAATGGAGTAAATCATAATCAAGAAAATCTCCTGGTGTGGCCAATTCCATAATCTTATTCACCCCAACCAATTTGCATTCACAAAGGCGCAAGTTAGATGCTCTTCTGTATCTTGATCACGTCGTGTCTGAATCATAATCCCACAAGACTCACGTTGCAATACTTTCCCTCGATATTTTAAAAGCCTTCGATAGAATCAGAATCCACGTTATTTTAAGGCAACTAAGCAGATGGTAAGTTGGTTTTTTGTTTTTGGTTTTTTTGGCGGAGCGATTTGATCACATAAGGCAGGTTTTTATTCTTATCTGGTTTTTATTCACTAGTGTAGAACGATGTCTACTGGATATTTTTTATTTCTGCTTCGTTTTGTATTTTTTCTTTCTTAAATGTTGCTTTCGATTGTAGACTATTGTTTATTATTATTATTAGGAAAAACAGATCTTATTAACTGAATTGCATATTGTTACTTCTATAACAGTAACATTCATCTTGAAATTGAAATAAAAAAATTTCACCCTTCTCTTACTTTATTAAATGAAACCCACATTGCATACAATGTTTTCCCGCATACCCCAAAAGCCTACACAGGTCATTTCTTCAATTTTTTTCACAACACATCCGAATCACTATCCTCGTTAAGAGAAGCATTCGCCATATCACCATTCCCATCCCGCACTCCGTCATCTCCTCCCTGGCAAAAGAAATTCAATCCCCATACAAAATCTCGTTTATATGTGCTTGTTCCCCTCCCGACCAAGCGTTCTCAACATCCCAATTCCTTAACTTTTTCTCCTTTAGCTCCGATCCATTTGTATTATTTGGCGACTTTAACGCGTGGAGCAAAATTATTCGTAAAGCTGCGCAAACAATTTCATACCCCAATCCTCTTCTAAACCAGCCAAATCGGCACCACTTTGGATTGAACTCAGTGCACTAAGGCAAAAAAAACAGCTTGCATGGCCCGAAATCAAACGTAACCTTTTAGTAACCAGTCTAGTAAAATATAAAAAGCTTAACGCTCTTTTCCGTCGTAAGGCCAATTCTGCCAAGATTTTCTGCTTTCAAAAATTCACTAGGGAAATCAATCCCAATTCTGGTACAAAAAAAAATTTGGTCTGACATAAGAAGGCTAACGGGTTCATCATCCTTTTCCCCAATCTCCTTCCTAAAATCTTCAAATGGCAACCTACTATATCCCCGTGATATATCCTCAGAGTTCGTTCTTCACTTCTCCAATGTCCCCTCTAATTCTGATTTTCCTCCAGAATTTGCTCACCGCAAACACTGAGCCCTTAACACCCCCTTATTAACCCCCCTCAAACTTGTCCTCTTTAGCCAAGTTCTTAGATTCCGAAATATTCACCCCTGAAATCCTCTCTGCTCTTTTCGGTGTTAAGGGCGAAACCCCCGGAGTTGAGAAAATATCATACCCCAAAACTAAGCATTTCCCTCCCACCCTACTATCCCGTCTAATCAACCTCTACAACAGCATTTACAACACTGGCAGTTATCTTTCCCAATGGAAGACTAGCGCTATAATTCCAATCTTAAAACTTGGCAAACTCTCCGGGGAGGACTCCAGCTACCGCCCAATATCCCTTTTACCTTGCCGAGGCAAATTAATGGAGAAAATCAATTCTCTATCGTATTATAACGATTACGAGTGACATTAGATGCTCTCCTGCATTTCGATCACGTCGTGTCTGAAGCATTATCCCACAAAAATCTTGTTACAATACTTTCCCTCGATTTTTTAAGAGCCTTCGATAGAAGTGGGACAACTAATCTTATGGAAAGTTGGCTCAAAAATTTACAGATTCATTAAATCATTCCTATCCATACGACAAATGGCTGTTCTCATATGCAACGTCCGTTCCCATGTACATCCCCTTGATAATGCTCCCTCAATAGTCTCCACCTCCACCTCCACCATTCTCTTTTTAATTGAATTTAACGAAATAAGCGCTATTTTAGCTGCTTTCCCTAGCATTAACCATCAAATTTTTCCGACGACCTCGTGTTATTTTCACAAACTTCAAAACTAATATTAATCATGGCAAGACGCTATTGTGTAAATATTAAAAAAAAAGAGGAGATAAGCAGCTCCCATGTGGCAGGCCTCCATTAACTTCTACCAGTTTTTCCGCCAGTTTAAGTTTCCTGAGAACTAAAAAATTTAAGATCCAATTTATGTAGTTTTCTTCTCATGTTTAAATGCTAAGGGTACTTTGTAAAGTTTTTGTGTTCACGCAGTTATGCTTCACTTATGTTTAAGGAGCAAACTACTACCTTGTAGCTGTTGTCTTTCAGTACAGCAATTTCATGCAGTAAGAACCTAAGAGCCATTGTGGCTGATTTGTTTTTGTACGCAAAGGACGCGTAGGGGAGTATGTCTTGTAATTCTAAGTGTTCGTCAAGTCTTTTTTCCTGCCAGATTTACACATTTCAGTAGCACGGATATTAAAGCTAAGCTTACAGCGAATGGGTCTGGTAGTGAACGAACAGTCATCGCATTCTCACTTGGCTCCCACGTCACTGTTGACCGTCGTAACTTTGAAGTCGTAGATAATTTCGTCTATCTAGGAGCCAGCATTAACACCAATAATAACGTCAGCCTTGAAATCTAGCTACTTTGGATTGAGTAAGCAATTGAAAAATGAAGTCGTCTCCCGACGAACGAAAACAAATACTACAAGTCTTTCATCGTTATCGTCCTGTCATATTTTGCGGAAGCATAGACTATGAGAACATCTGATTAGTCGGCGAAGGTTTTTGCGTAAAATTTATGGGCCTTTGCGCGTTGGCAACGGCAAATTTTGCAGACGATGGAACGATAAGCTGTACGAGTAACACGACGACATGGATGTAGTTCAGCGTATCAAGAGCGCCAGTGGAAGCAGAGGAAGAGGAAGACCTCCACTTCGTAGGAAAGACTAGGTAGAGACGTACCTGGCTATAATTGGTATTTCCAAATGGCGCCAAACACCAAAAAGAAGAAACGAATGGCGCAATGTTGTTAAATCGGCTAAAATCGCGTAAGCGATGTCTACGCCAGTAAAGTAAGCAAGAAACTATTAGATAGTTTTCTGGACTTTACTATTCGCCAGCTTTCTGGAATTTGGTTTGTAAAAAAATGTCACTTATTGCTGTGCATATATTGGTTAAAGCTTTATCTGATATTGCCTTAAGTATTTTACACTTTATCTAATCGTATTTTCCTGCTGAGTTTTGATTTTTGTTGTCAATTATATGTGTAAGTTCTTCATCTATTATAGCTAGATCACATTTTGGGGTTATGTGCTTGTTGATTATTATAGGGCCTCCTCATGGCGTGATATGTTGTTTTACCATATCTAAGTTTTGTTTTCATCTGTTTCTTTTAATATTATTTGACTTCTGGTGGGATAGTTTCCTCTTAGACCCTTTTTAAAACTCCATGCAGTTTTG